AATCAGCGCATAACATGCATCCATAAAATCCATCTGGGCCTGATAATGGGTAACAATTATAGGGTCTGTGAATTATGGAGCTCTAAATATTTTTATTAAATAATAATAATAATATTACTGAATGAGACACAATGTGAGTGAAACATTCAGCACCTGCAGGTGTGCTAACATGGTTATTATCACAAATAGATTTTCGCTTATTCTCACATGAGAACAAAAGAGTCCATTGCACCATCTGCCCTATTGCAATTTGTTATACCCATGAAACTGTAAAGCCTTGCCATGTAAAATAAACACAAGTAAAAATCAATAGTTGGCATCAGTAGATCAATGCAACATTGTGATAAAGTACTATTATAAAACTATACGATATTGATCGTCCTCCTCACCTCTGAGATGTAGGGAAGGTTGTTTGGAGGGTTTAGGACAGTGAACACACAGAACTCTATGCCGCTAGTCTCACCTGTCCCCGGAGTCACAGTGTACAAATGAGGAGGATGCAGGTCATCTGTTCAGTCTCCGTGGCTATATATCAGGCGGACGTGCAGGACTGTACCTCACCACTACGGCCCTGACAGGACCTGAGGATGAGAAATGGTATGTCTCCGTTCCCCTGCGGCCCTGACAGATGGGCATTTACTCACTGCCTCGGACCAAGGGGAGCCGTGGGTTACTCAGGCCCAGAGAGAGTCTGCGTCTAACAGACGCTGCTTAAATACACTCAGGAAGGACATTATGGAGGACACATTCCATATGCGAGGAATTTTCATTTCAATTTTAATAAAGCTTTCCATTATGTAATTACGCACCATTATTATTACTGCTCATGATTAAGGTTAGGTACAGTATCTGTATATATGAAGGTAAGGAGTGGGTGTGAGAGAGAGGAGGGGAACAGTAACAACCAGGACCGGCAGCGCGTGATGAGGCACACCTGAATCTAATGGAGCCCCGTTAGTCAAGCTCGCATCAGATGACTCTCAGCTGATCCACGTCTACCTATAGGAATACGACACCAATCACAGGATCCATATATAAGCTCCTTCAGTATTATCAGCAGCTATCGCTTTTCTCAGGAGCTAATTACCCTCCTCCATCCCCAGCTCCCCCTCTCGCCCAGTCAGGATTTGGCATTCTGATTCCCCTTTGAATCAGACTAAATTCTCGAAATATGTTGTACATTAAAATATTTAATTAATGATATCTGCAATGCAGGACCGGCGATTGCTATAGGCGACCTAGGCGATCGCCTAGGGCGGCAAATGTGTTAGGGGCGCGGCGCACTCTAGTGTCGCCCTTTGCCTACTTCCCATTAATCATAGAATTAGAAAATAAAACATGTTTATTAAACATGATCATCATAAGGCGCCCCTCAGCCACACGTTTAATTACTTGTCAACTTGATTATTAGATTGAATTGATGATTATTGTCGATCATTTCCTAAAGGGGGGGGGGGGGGGGGGGGGGAGTTGCGTTGAGTTGCGTTACGTTAGGGTAGGCAAGGCAATGCTGGCGCGTTGATCAAAAATGAAGCGGTCTAAACCCTCTGGTGCACAGGGAAGAAAAGGAGAAAGGAACAAGATAAAAAGAAAGCCCAGTATAGAGGTAAGTCTTCTCATCTCAGTCATTAAGGTGTCAAACGAAATAAATTTATTTAGTATTGTGCAAAGGCATCTACTGGCCATCGGGACTACCGGCAGATTCCCGGTGGGCCGACGTGCTTTTTGGGCCGATACATCTCGAATACTTTTATATATTTATTTATTTTTTGTCTGAACGGCCATAAAACTCGTAAATCGGCGGCCCATTCGTTTTGTTTTGTTTAATTGGTGCGCTGGGTTATAACTTGCTTTCAAGTATAGTCAGAAATGTGTACAAAACTTATTAGGCTATGAAAGTTTCCTTTATTTTTATTATTCCATTTGTTTTACAATATATGGCTATTAGTAATAGGGGCAAAACACTAACAAAATAATAATAACCTTTATTTTATAAAGCGCCTTTAAAAGCAGCTTCTCAAAGCGCTGTATAGGCCTAAACAATGGGCAATTGTTTAAAAAAAAGCACATCAACAAGTGAATGCAAGTTTAAAAAAGTATGTCTTAAGTTGACCTTTAATAATGGCATAAGACTGGGCTTCCCTAAGTTCAAGAGGCAGAGAGAAAATTAAAATCCACAAAATTTTCTTAAACCCCCTTAGCCTTGTAGTAGCCCATTAGATTAGTAATAATGGTGGTAGAAATTGTAATTTATCTACTGCAAGTTGCATGGTCAGATAAAATGTTTGTACAAAATATATTTGTTGTTTGGATGGTGGGTGCAGGGGGCAAAACTCAATCTCGCCTAGGGCAACCAAAGGGCTAGAGCCGGCCCTGCTGCAATGCATTTATGTTGTTCTGTTTACCCTAAGGGGGGTTATTGCTGCTCTTCCTGCTCTTATCCATGCCAGACTTGCCCTGAACAGAACCACACCGCCAATCCAAACTGTATGCTAATTGTCAAGCGTGGACCTGACAGAAACAGAGTGCACCACTCCTCGAGAGACCGGCCTCTTTTCCCAGTGCATGCATGCTGGTGTCCTCAAGGGTCTAGGAAGGGGAGCATGGAGGGATTCCCGGACCGCTATATGGACTGAGTCGCCGGACCCGTGGTCTAGATGGGAAGCACACGTTTTGGAGGACAGGTTAGGATGCGGGGCTGCCATTCCTTCTCGTCGCGGCCTCAGGGAAGATGAGCTGCCGAGGAGAAGCCACTACCCCTCGTGCCCAGGACCAGAGAGGGGAGCGCGTGTGGCCACCGGACCCCACCCCCCTTACCTGGACCCATCCGTACTGAACACTGCCCCTCCTTCACGAAACCCCGGCACGACAAAGACAACAGATCCCCTGTTTATTTGGACACTTTCTTCCCTTTTTGGACATTGTTTTATTTTTGTTAAAGTCCCCCTGTAGTCAATAGTTGTATCCCTTAAAACTCATCTTTGATCACCAAAATGATATATATTTTAAAGTTTTTTCCTATTCCTATCCTAAAATTATACATGCCTTAAAATAGCTTGAATATAACTCTAGACCCTTGCCTCATTTAGTATATGCGGTTCGATGAATATGGAAATGAGCCCCGCCTCCACTCACTCGCACCAGCTCAGAGATCCACTTGTGGTTACAAGGTAGTTTGTGACGTCAGAAACACCAGCGATTTCAAACCGCGTTTTTGAGAATGTCTTTGCTTCACTAAAGTTAAGGAGAAAATACTCAGCGATTGGTTTGACTTGTGCATTTGTACATGGGTTTGTCTTAAAGCATATTAAAAACACCACATAGACATATAAACAAAATTAAAAACTTAATTTTCACCACAGGGGGACTTTTAAATAAAAGCCTATCTGAGGCTTGACGCCACACCCATTGTGTCTGTCTTTGCTCCTCGTCATATATATATAAAATATATATATACTAGGGCTGTCAAATGATTAATCACATCCAAAATAAAAGTTCTTTTTACATAATATATGTGGGTGCACCGTGTATAATTATTTTGTATATATATATAAATACACACACATGCATGTATATTTAAGAAAAAAATATTATTTATATATAAAATATTTATATATAATATAAATTATACATAAATCTATATACAGTATATACATGAAAATATTTCTTAAATATATACAAGCATGTGTGTGTATTTATATATATAAAATAATTATACACAGTGCACCCACATATATTATGTAAAAAAAACTTTTATTTTGGATGTGATTAATCACGATTAATCATTTGACAGCTCTAATATATACAAACACATACACACACACACACTGCCCAGCCCAAAAAAAAGGTTGCCGTTTGGATTTAAATAGGCAAATGCTTAAGAGTCTACAATTGGATCATTATTACAGTAATTATTATGTTTCTAGCATGTTCTAAGACACATCATGGCCATAATCCAGTCCAGGATGACAATGCATCAGGCTCAAATTATGAAAAAAATGGTTGGGAGGAGCATGAAGAATCATTTTCACACATGAATTGGCCCCTCCAGACCTTAAATTCATTGAAAGTCTTTGGGATGTGCTGGAGGAGACTTTACAGAGTTGCATTGTCAATACAAGATCTTGACCAAAAATGTATGCACCTTTGATGGAAATAACGTACCATTTATTTCCATCAAGAGGTGCATCAATATTTGGTATTGATATAAATTGACATAAATGCAGGTAATTATGATGTGTGTGTGTGTGTGTGTGTACATGTGTGTGTAATTTTATAGAAAAATAATAGAGGTAAATAAATATAGAGGTAAATTGCAACAGTAGTTTTGTATTTGTATTCAGTTGTTACTCAGGTTTTCATTCATTCTTGACAGAGATTGCCAGTAAAAAAAGTATGATGGTGGTATTACAATGGATATCTGGACTGTTCTGGACATGCCATGGTGCGTGTTGTTATGATTTAATACCAAAGCTACTGCATTGTGGTACTGCCACGGTACTTTTTTTATAAGAACTGAAAGGAGGAAAAACACATTTTGTTGATGCCTTTTTCAATCTTGCTCTGCAATCTCAAACAACATATCACATCATCAGAAAGAGGTTTGTACATGATGGATACTGGAACAAAAGCATAATTGGCATCCTTTGTGGGACTGTAGAGAAAGAGCTAGAATCCCCTCAACACTGATGTTGACACACACTGATGCCTAACATGAGAAAACAGCCCATTATTAGTTCCAAAGCTGTCAAACCAAAGAGAGATTAGGGAAAAGGGTTGTATACGAAAACACAGATTTGAGCCCTTACAGTAGTATTCGCACCGAGAATGGCAGGCAGAAATGGTACACGAGCATCCCTCTCACGCGGATACGAAACAACACGACGGCTCTTGTGGACTTAAAGAGTTTGTTCTGTAAAGCCAGCAAACTGTTCACATTTTGGCCCGGTCAACAGAGCTAGCAGTGCCAGCGTTCAGGCTGAAACCGGCCCACAACTCACCACTGTAGAAGCGGATCATGCAGCTGAGGTCCGAGTTGGCGGCTTCCTGCTGGACACGGAGCGGGTCTTCATAGCCCATAGCAGTCAGGTATTCATAGACCATCTGAAGAGGACGCTCGGAGGGGTCCAGCCTCCTGCAAACAGGAGTAGACGCTAGTCAGACATGAGAACAAACTGAAATGCAGTGTTCGAAAACATAAAGTGACATATACTCAAACTTCGAACATACATACACAACCGTTCAGAAGTTTGGTGTCAGTACGTTTTTTTGGTTTTTGAAAGAATATTAATACTTTTATTCAGCAAGGACGCATTAAAGTGATCACAAGTGAAAAGAAAGCTCTTATATGTGAATAAAAGACTAAATTAAATCTGTTCATCATATAAAGTGATCGAGTCCATTTAGAAATTTGGACTAAACCACTCATATGGATTTGTTTTACGATCTCTTTATGAACTTTTTGAAGCGTCAAAATGGTAGACAGAAAGATCTTGATTTGTGTTCCGAAGATGAACGAAAGTCTTACGGGTTTGGAACGGCATGAGGGTGAGTAACTACTGACAGAATTTTCATTTTTGGGTGAACTATCCCTTTAAATCCACAAAACCCCATCTTTGATGAGGTTTCCAAATATGGACAGACTGGTACACTTTATATGTAAAAGCCAAAGGTTTCACAGGCGGTATATAATGTTTATGGCACAATATTCACTAAGTAGTATGAAAGTATTGAACATCGGTGATGAGAAAAAAAAAAGTGTGCAAATTCCATGTGGGCCAACACACGACCAAGTGCAAGTATCCTAGCTCTTAACAAGCGTGATGACACACAGGTGTTTTGATTTAAGATCAGACTCTATCCCAACATCCTCCAGCAGTGACTCTCCCTCAGAGCTGGGTGTTTTCCCAGCCCGGCAGACAGATAATATATCCCAATCCAGAGGGATCACGTCTAGTCCAACTCAATATCTCAACATTCATTAAAGCGCTGAAGTGAAAGAACACCAAGCTCATGGCGTCTGACAATATTCCCTTTAAACAAAGCAAATAATCAGTCTGCTGATTTGACTCGATGATCTGTTTGTGATGTGACTGCATCCTGCTTTTTATTAAAACTGTCTGGCCTCATATTCGTCCACCTTTCGCAGCGTCGCCGCCTTTCTCTCCCTGATTAAATCGTCATCTCATCCCAACGTTCTAATCCTGTTAAATAAAATGGTTTCACTTCACAATAAGGTCTCATTATTTAACATTAGGGTATGTTTACACGACAACGAGAGAAAACGACTAAAAATGCTGTATTCTGTTGCCAGGCCAGTAGATGGCGATGTTACTATGCAAGGAAAGACTACGCATATATAGACTCAACACAGAGCTGCCAACTCTCACGCATTGGCCGTGAGACACCCGCATTTGATTGGTTTCACACGCTCACACGCCACACTCCCGATTTCTCACGCTGAAGTGTCAACCCGGCTGGTCAAATGCCTGAAAGATGAGTTTATCTACCTGTTGAGCCACTCGTGATCGACTAGTTATACCGCAAATTCGTTAAAAATCTCCCGCAATCTAGAGCGAGCGTGCATGCGAGACAGAGATTGTGCTCCAAACCGCGTAGAGCGAGCGAGAGACCTTGCGTGGGCACTGGGCAGAGAGCATTCACCCCCCCCAAACTCCCCCCCCCCCCACACACACACACACACACGGAGACGATAACTGTCTTGTTATCCCCTCTCCCCTCTCCCCTCTCACTCCGACCAAAACTCAAAAGTTGGCAGGTATGTAACACGTAATAAGCATGCGCATGACATCACGTTTTCACAAATTAGCGTTTTTGTAGTTTACACGGAGACGATAACTGTATTGTTTTCCAAACCTTACACTTCAAAACCTATTTTCGAAAGTTTGCGTTTTCAGGCCCCTGAAACGGCGTTGTCGTGTAAATGAACGGGCAAAAAACACAAAAAGTTTTCAGTGTTTGGTTGAAAATGGTGTCGCGTAAACACCCCCTTAGTTAATGCATTACCTTACATTACAAAATGTGCAGCCCTACAAACAAGTACAGTGAAACTGGAGCTTTAAAAAATTGTGCATTTTATCAGGAATTTTCATGGAGCTTTAAAAAAAAAAAAAAAAATACAATGAAAATATCATCAGGATTTTACAGTCCAAGCCAATAATGTTTTGTACACAACTAATAAGTCTTCAATATTTTTTGGTCAATTTTCCTGGAAGAGAAAGGGAGTAGAATTGCATGTAGATGACCTAAAAGCAACAAAACCTCATTTTTAATGAGGTTTCCAATAACAGTAATTCACTGTCCAAGCCCCATAATCGCCCAATTGCACAGCGCCGCCACCTTTCTCTCCCTGATTAAATCGTCATCTCATTCCACCGTTCTAATCCAGTTAACGGCTCCTCGTTGCTCCGAAGCAGATAAACCAGCGGACACTGCAAACCCGTGTCCCATAGCCTGGCACTACCAGAATGCAGCTGCTCCGACCCACATGCTTGCCTACAGACCTATCAGATGTCCTCGTGTTAAAGCAGAGCAGGGGTCCGTCTGAGGCCCCGCACCTTCACGGCAGAAGCCCGCTTCAGCTTTGCTCTTTGCTTTTAGAGGCAGAGTGCAGCTGACAAGGACACTTTAGAGATTTAATGCTTTCTTGCTGCTTACCTGAAGTGAAATAAATAGCAGACCTGAGTAGAAAGCACACACACACACACACATCAGCAGATGTCCCTGTGAGCTGCCCTAATGTGCAGCCTCCTCACAGCTAATTCAGCTTAGCTGCCTGGCTTTACCTCGGCTCAGGGCTGGACTGCTTCCTGCGAAATAATGTGATTTCAGTCATCTCAGCCCCAGCCCAGTCATTCCCAGGAGGGCAGAGCGAGGGGAAAGCATGACTTGCTTCTCTCTCTGTCAGGCACACCTTAAAAACCACCACAGACACTACAGACGACACGCACTCTGAGGAAAGCACAAAACCCGGCTCAAGAGCGCAGGGAGTGTTGCAAACACATGTATATTCCTTTGTTTTGCTGTTATCTTGGAAAGCCGCTATTGCTAATGTTCATAATTTAGGGTTAAAGGTCTGAAATTTTCCGAAATTTTCGGACCTTTAACCGAAATTTTCGAAATTTTCCGAAATTTTCGTGCGCGTTTTTTTTTTTCTTCGTATTCCTCATTCGGTGGCTCTGAATTGTCAAAACACCTCTCAAAATGCTTGCTACGGATGCGAGATATCGTAGTAGTTATCATTCTTGGTGTGAACAGGCCTTTAGGGGGTTCTCAAAATGTGGAAATCTAGATTTTAGTTCACATTAAAATGAAATTTCTGTCATCAGTTACTAATTTTTAACCCTGTATGACATTCTTTGTTCTGTGAATGGGGAACATAGAAGATATTTTGAGAAATATCTCTGGTGTTTTGTCTGTAAGGGGAGTCAGTGGTCACCAAAACTGTTTGGTTACCAACATTCTTCAATATCTTCACTTGGAATTGTGCACAAAAAAGTTAATTATGTCGAGAATTTTCATTTTTGGGTGAACGGTCCCTTTAAAAAATCTCTGCTTTTTCTAGGAATGGGAAAACATGACTTGCTAATGCTAATAGCTATTGGTTTTGAGGAGATGGTTTATATTCTTGATGGCAGAATATAAACAAATAAATCTGTGTAAAAGATCCACATTTAAAACTTTCAGCAGTACACTAGCATATCCACGTTTCAACGTGGAAGTTAGTTATTTTCTGTGAATGTGCGCTTTTTATTATATTAGCTGCTATAGGTAAAAAACTACAAGACTAACATAGTGCAGTGAAACTATCTAAACTACAAACAAGCGTGTTTTTGGTTACAATCATAATGAAATAAATTAAAGGGGTCATATAATGCCATTTTTGTACAAGCTAGTATGATTCTTTAGGGTCTAAATTAAAAGTTTGTAATATACTTTAATTAAAAATTCTCATTAGTATTGTAAGAAAACACTTATTTTACCTGGTCAAAAACAGCTCTGTTTTCAGCACGCCGTTTCAGTGCATATGACTTTAAATGATAATGAGCTTTGCTGACTCCGCCTCTCTGTGCTGTGCGTACACCGTTTGTAACTCAATAACACAATAACCATAACGCGTTGTTCAGTATAAACGTGGGATTATGAATTATATTGAGAACGTCATACATAGAAAACATGCCGTAATGTACCCTGAGTGTAAACCTTAGACGCATTCATTGTGAAGCGTGCAGCTAGCGATTTGCAAAGATTAATATAAATATTAATATAAAGTTGAATAAAACGTTACACTCACTTTAGTTGTTCTAGAGGTTTAGCAGGAACACGAATATCTGGTACCGATCCTTTTTTCATGAGCAGCTTCTTAGCAAAACCAGCTCATACTGACCCTCGTTTATAAAGCAGTCTGGTGTGCTTTATAATGAAAAAATGATTCGCGCAAACATGAGAGCATTGACGTTGCTCGTGGGGATTATTCCCTTCGAAAACAAACTCAGCCACTGCGTCTTCAGCGGTTCGGATTTAGGAACATTAAAATGACTGCTGTGTTCGTTATTACACCCAAGAACAGAACACCACAATCGCTTAGACGCCATTCTGCTCATAGACAGTGCTCCAGCATATCAACAATGACCGCGCCGGTCCGCGCAGACTACGATTGACAGCTCGCTCACGAGCGAGGGCGGGTCTGTGTTGAAACGCTGCTATCAATCAACAATCGTGGGAGGGGCTTCCGAGCGTGTGACGTCACAAGGTCGAACGGCTTGATTTGAGGCAGGGGAAAACATATAAGGAGATTAAAACAAAAACACTGGATGGATTTTTATCATTTTATGATGGTTGTGTACAGGCACTGCCAACACACATTTCAGTACAATCAACTTGTAAAAGTGCATGTACCATTATATGACCCCTTTAAAAGGGCTATACGTAGAATACAGAAACCCTTGTTTTTAGCGACACCGTTGGCCGTTAAGTGAACTGCAGCCAGAAACGTACCGCTCGTGCTCGCACTCGTGCACACGTAACGCACTAGAGAGATTGTATGTGATTCAATGACCTGATATACTCATGGCAAAGCTCTTTTTCGTTTTTGCTTAGAAGTAAAAAGAAGTTGCAAATACTTTTGCAGCGACACACTATTAGCGAACATCCTGATGCCGTCCACGCTACTGAGAGCAACGTTTAGATGAATATGTAAATATGTGCTGCTCGCTTTTCTTCTCAATAACACCCCAAAAAAAAAAAAAAAAGTGGTGAGAAAGCAGCAGTTAAGAAAGCATCTGATCGTAGCGATGTGGATATGTTTGCACCAGCTCTACAATTTACCGGCATCATGTGGACAGATGAGGTTATTAACATTACACTGTTATGATAATTTGATTATAAAGTATATTTGAGACTATATACTATATAGATCTGGTTATGTGAGACAAACAATTATGTTGATATAAAAACTGCCTTATGTGCAACTTAAATGTTTGTACAACTTTGATGATTAAATAAGTTTAATTAATTTATTGATCATTAATCGATTATTTCTTTTGGGTTTCGTTTTCGGCGAAGCGCATTCTGAATTTTCGGTTTTGGTTTCGACCCAGAACTTTTAATTCAGTGCATCCCTAATATTTTCACTGTTACTATTCCATAAACACAGAGATGAGTCAAGCTTCAAAAATAAACCATCAGCAAGACATAAATAGAAAGTAAAACATCATGCTGTACTTTCTATTTATGTCTCTTGAGAATCAATGTAAAAAAAATCCGTTTTTAAAAACTGACAGAGCACATCCTTTAAAACCAGACACTGAACATCAAATGTCACAGGTCTTCCTCTTCCTGTCAATATGTCATGACCTTTATATTGCATCAGTTGGCTTGTTATTTTCACTGAAAAATGTATATTTTTAAAATGTTATTTAAATTCTTTATCTTTACAAAAAAAAAGAAAAGCTACACAAACAACTTATTAGGATTTCAATCTGAAATGCAGCTATGATGTCACCCAATGACAGCTATAAATTCTCACTCACACTTAACGATGACATATGGTCATTTGTTTTACAATTTCTAATTATAATTTCCATGTTCTAAAGTCTTTTTTCCACAAATCTCATCTAGATCTATTAACAACAACATTTAAATAGTCACAGGAAACCAAATGTTTAAGTCTGCAATGCATGGTCCAAAAACAAATATTTATGAACAATGAAGACATAACCTTGTGGAATAGAAGGTGAAAAGTACAATTTAGCATTCTTTTAAAAAGAGCACTTATGACGGGTATACTTAAAAAGAATATACAGTACTGAAGTACAAATGAAATGTTTGTGGACACTTAATTGTTGATTTCATTCAAATGAATAGTATTTTAGTTTAAATTTATATTAAATTTAGGCCTGGTTGACAGGGTTTATATTAAGCCAGGATTAGTAGCTTTCATATAGAAAAAAAAACACTGGTTTGCATCTTGAGACAAAACAATGGCACTGACATATATTTTAAGATATGTCAGTACAAGTTGCTTTCAGTTAAACAGCTCAAACATGCATTTTAGTCTGAGTCTAGCTTAAGCCTTGTCTGTGAAACCGGGGTTTGAGTTTATTTCAATATAATATTATACATTATTATTTAATTTATTGTCTTTGGAATATGGTTAAAGTTCACTGCTAAATGTACTGACAAGCATTTATATAGTGAACTAAAAATATACTTGAAAATCATTTCTATTAGAACTTGTATGTCATGTATTTAAATATATTTATAATTACAGAAAAAATTATATCGTTGGAATCACTTTCAGAGCGATTTCTTCCAGCTGATCAACAATTCAAACATTGACAGCCAATTAAAGAGTTTGAGCATTTAAAGCGAATAAACAGAACAATATTCTGACTGAGTTAGTTATAGTCTTGGTGTGAAAGGGCCTTAATGGGATAGTTCACCCCAAAATAAAAATGCTAATTTTTTACTCACCCTCAAGTTGTTCTAAACCTGTATAAATTACTTTCTTCTGTTGAACACAAAAGATATTTTGAAGAATGCAACCAGAGAGTTGCTGGTCCCCATTAGTCTCACAAAGCCAGACCTTCAGACTGACAGAAGAAGGTCTGGACTCCACAGCAGCTTTCATTGGCCAAGGACTGCCCAGAGGCCCTCTGACTGACATGTAAAGCAACCAATCACAGTTCGTTTTGTTCCGCGTCATGTTTAGAGGTGTGAAAATGTTACGTTGATGTCCCTACAATAACAGACCGGCGTGTAAAACTCTTGGACGTATGCCGCGAACATTACATACTTCACATACTTTTGTAAATCCAGCATTTAGTTGCTCCTGAAAAGCGTTCATTGTCACAGTTATAAACACGACAGCCTTCTTTTTCCATGAGGGGGTTTGGCACCACGGCATCTTTGTTTTCAGGTGTGGACCGTTAAAGAACGCGACACACACGTCTCCCGCACATCCTGCAGAATTCAACCAATCAGATGACGATCTCGAAAATCCTGAAGTGTTTCCAGTTAAAGGTATTGTAGGTAGGAATTTTATAAAAAAAACTTTTTTCCAAATTTGTTTAAACTTTCTGTATATATCAATGCATAATTAAAATGTAAGTACTCTGATAAAAAGAGTATAAAAATCGAGTGACTCTAGACCGTTTAATCTGCACTAAACACAGCTCATTATTTCCATTCGGGACGAAACAAAGGATTGGCTTAGGCGACTGTCACTCTCTCGCAACCATGGCAACCACCCTTTGGCCACACAGGACCTGCCCATTTGCACGAATCCGTTTGATTTGAGGAATTCAAGAGGCACGGAATCTAGGAATAGCAAAACAATGGCAGAGAAAGACCAATCAAAATTCACATATGCAGTTCGCGAAGGCAAACCAGGCAAAAAAAGGAAGACAGTAACGTTACTAGAAAAGGTAATGAACAAAAAGTCTTTGGATAAACAACGAAATAAAACGCGTGTCAATATCGGCGTGGCTTTCCAGCGATGGCGAGAACTGAGAGACCTCAAGGGGCTGAAAAGTGACGCCGTGTGACGACCTCCTCTGCTTCGCCCTCGACCGCGGATCTGTCCTTGAGCTGACGATGCGGTAGGCCTACTTGTCTCTGGAGTGTAGTCCTCATCAGAGTCAACAATGCTTTCATCACGGAAACTCTTACATGCAGAACACCATATATGTTATGAATGTTACACGAAATTCATCTTCATCACAGTGTAAATGATGGCAATGGAAAAACGTGTATCATGCAACCTGTTTTTAGCTTTGCCTTACAGATAACTAGCTCGTTAGCGAATCAATAAATATAGATTTTAAACTTTACCAATATCAATATGCTAGCTTGATAGTGAGTAATAAAATACATCTTATTTGTTTATCTTCATAATGATAAAGTTAGATTTTTTTATTACATGTGATTCTGACATGATGTCACTACATGCACTGCGCTCCTTCCTCTCCGCTCGTCTCAGGTAAATAATGCGTCTTCAGCTCAGCGGTCGGAGTCGCGCGTTCATGTGTTTTTGGGGCGTGGCTTTGGAAGGAGCCCAGAAGGGAGGGGGTGGAGTGAATGGAAATAATGAGCTGTCTTTAAAACAGTCGTGAGAGCTCTACAGACACTCGATTTTTATACTTTCTTTTTCAGAGTACTTACATTTTAATTATGCATTGATATATACAGAAAGTGTAAACAAAGTTGGAAAAAAGTTTTTTATAAAATTCCTACCTACAATACCTTTAAGTGCATCAGACATTCAGCCAGCGGTCCATGAGCGTGACGTCTGAGGCTGAGAATAGTCCCCAATGACTTCCATAGTATGAAAAAAATAAAAAATACTATGGAAGAAAATGGAGACCAGAAACTCTCTGGATACCAACATTCTTCAAAATATCTTCCTTTAAGTTCCACAGACAGAACACAGTTTTTATTTTTGGTTGAGCTATCCCTTTAAGACACTAGCTCTCTCATCCTTCCATTATCCTTAATGTTGAACCCTGAGATAAGACAAACATGTTCATAATGACGTGATTTTGGAGGATCATTAACATTTATAATATCAAGAGGTGCAAATAAATGACTACCGGTAATCCCTACAACTCATGTAACCAGTCATTTGTAAACAATGAGCATGTGATATTCACATTGTCATTTCAGATAAACCCCCGGAACTCTGTGTCTGGCCCGACTGTTCCACAGCGTGAGTCTGATAAGGATCATTATCGAGATGAGACCACGTCTAGCCAGAAAATGACTGAGTGTGTTACCTGATTAAGTCCCCGTGCAGCTGCAGGTAGAGACCCTGCACGTCTCTCTGAGCACAGAGCTCTTCAGCGGTGGTGTTGGTGGAGCACAGCACCAGCTTCAGGTCTGGCTGAGGGGTGGTGGAGGTCTGGGGGCCCGATGGTGGAGGCTGAGGCTCCGAGGCCCCGTAGAGGCACACACACCCTCGATGAGCGTCGCCCTTCAGCCAGTCCCGCTCGCGAGAGCCGAACCGCGTCTTCCGGGTCACGCAGCCTCGACTGCCATTCCTCTTCATGTTACGCTGTGAAAGAGAGTCTTGATTAGATGCTGCTTGTGTCTGTGAAATTATACCCCTCTAGAAAAAGGCCAAATAAAGTGTTTTAGAGCACAAATCAGTCATAGGAAACCATCCATCCCTTGGTAACCACAAGTTGGTGGATGTCGGGACTCCACCCTGTAACACAGAGCCTGTCTGAGAGACATCAGGTTTTGTTTTCAGTTGTAGAGAACTACGGCAGCCCAAATATTTACCCAGGGCACAAACGCCCTGGAGAAATGTGCGAGTCGAGATTATTTCGGAAACGCCATGCCATTAGTCAGCCTGGTGAAATCATTTTCTGATGATGCTCTGCCCAGCTTAACTTAAGTGAGCACTAACTTCAGCAGGACAGGGTGTGCAAAACAACATTGAACCTTTCAATGCAAGGACAAAACAAAACAACTTGTTTTGTGTTCCACTGAAGAAAGAAAGTCATACAGGTTTGGAACAACCGGTTAAATAATAATGCTAATAATACAAAGAAGAAGAAGATGAAATTATGTTATGTTTATTGATTTTTATTGATTTCTTTGTAATAATGATTATTAATATTATTTTTATTATTGAGCAACCTAATAACAATAATAATATTTTTTGTTTATTTATTTTTATTGATTTATTTGTAATGATTAATATAATTAATAATACGAATAATAATAATAATTATTATTATTATTATTATTTAACCAGTTGTTCTAAACCTGTATGACTTTCTTCAGTCGAATGTAATAATAATAATAATAATAAATGATAATAATATATATCTTTTTTTATTAATTTATTTGTAATGATCATTAAAATAATTTATAATAATAATTATAATAATGTATAATAATAATAATATTTATCAATGACAATAATAATATGTTGTTTATTTATAGGCTATTTATTGATTTATGTGCAATAATAATAACAATAACCATTATTACTATTATTATTTAACCAGTTATTCCAAACCTGTAATACTTTCTCTCTTCTGTCGAACATAATAATAATAATAATAAATAGTGTTTTAATATTTGTTTAATTAAAATAACTGTCTATTTTATAGAAAACGTGCCATTTTCTATTCTGAAAATCAGATTTTCAAAGTATTGTTTTTGTTGTGTTTAAGGACTTAATTGGTTTAAGTAGACCCTTGCCTGTCAGAAAAATATGTGGTGCCATCTCAGGCTCTCTTATTTATTTATTTATTTTCCTAAAATAATCAACATATATAGGCCTATGATGATGTGTGTTTTGTCAAACCCGTTACAAACTTCAAATTGTATTTTAAAGTAGGCCTATTTGTATGGAGGACCAACTCTACCATATTTAAAAATAAATACAGAAATAAATAAATGCTCAATAAATAAATAAGCATACAATTAATTGCTCCAAAAATACAATAAACAAATAAATGTAGGTAGAAATTAAATTATGCAGTGAGACATAAATGTATATACCTCTTTTAATTATCTTCTTTATTTATTCACCTTTTTAATAATTACCTTATTTATTTATTGTCCGTTATAATCTTCAACTTTATTTATTAATTACTTATTTTTTTAAGTATTTATTTACGTGCATGTTATAATATTTTTGTCTGTTTTATTCTTCATTTGTATTTTTTTACCCTATTTATTTCTTCAATGCTATTTATTTCTGCCTGTCGTTTTTACATTTCTGTATGCATTTCTGCCTCATTATGCAAATGAGGAGGGGCTGTGTCTTAAGGGGTCAACTTCTGCCCATTGGTTGGTTAGCCTTTTACTGCATCGGTCGAATCTACATGCCACCGGCCGCGATTTTTTTTTTTTTTTTTTGCAGGGTGGTAGGGGAAGACTCATTAATATTCATTAGGGAACTCATCCCTGATTGTCAATTTAAAAGATACATTTTAAAGTCAAGAAAGTTGCAGTTTGATGTAAAACTGTTGAGGTATAAGACTGTGAAAATACGTAATTAAAAAGACTACAAACCCAAAAGGCGCCCATTTTCTCTCCCAATGAATGAAGCTAACTTTACTGAAGCTAACGTCTGTCATTGTTTCTATAGTCTTGCGTTATAATCGTAACGTTACGCCGTCATGCCTGAGTGTTTTGTACCAGACTGCACACACACCCGCAGCGGATCTCGCTCGTTGTTTCGCTTCCCGGGAGATGTAGTTCATTGAGCGATTTTCACATAAAACTGAATGTCACTCTTCTGTTTTATGACAAACTGCGACTTTCTTGACTTTCAGAATTATCTTTTAAATTGACAAACATCATATGTGTAATTCAGGGCACAGTTCAGACGGAATAAAAAGATAAGTTGTCTCTCGCCATTGACTAGCATACATATTTTTACCGCTCCCATGAGCCGGAAGCGGAGGGGAGGGGCTTAGGCTCTCTATGGGAGGAAATTTACCCCTTAAGACACAGCCCCTCCTCATTTGCATAATGAGGCAGAAATGCATACAGAAATGTAGAAACGACAGGCAGAAATAAATAGCATTGAAGAAATAAATAGGGTAAAAAAATACAAAGGAAGAATAAAACACAAAAATATTATAACATGCACATAAATAAATACTTCAAAAAATAAGTAATTAATAAATAAAGTTGAAGATTATAACAGACAATAAATAAATAAATAAGGTAATTATTACAAAGGTGAATAAATAAAGAAGCTAATTAAAAGAGATATATACATTTATGTCTCACTGTATAATTTAATTTCTACCTACATTTATTTGTTTATTGTATTTTTTGGGGCAATTAATTGTATGCTTATTTATTTATTGAGCATTTATTTATTTATGTATTTATTTTTAAATATGGTAGAGTCGGTCCTCCATATATTTGAAGTGACACTTAGAATAAATCTGGTATATTATGAAAGATACATAATCCCGGTTTTCATTAGGTGTTTATAAATGAAAATAATAATGATTTTTTTTTTACATGGATGAATAAATACGCTCAAATGCAATCGGCCATGTCACAAAATGGCACATTTTCATAGAATCACCCAAGTGTAGGCTACTTAATTGTGTTAAGAAACATAGTTATGAAAGTGTAGGCTACTAAAAGTACACTTAAGTGGTCTTTTATTTCATTAATATTATTTGCAATAACAGTTAATTTTTAAGTAACCTACACATTCAATACATGTACGGACACTTATTTCTCAAAAGGGCAGTAGGCTGATGGTCACCGGTTTGAATCAACAAAATCGTCACTGTAACAAACTGACTGAATCAGTCAGAGTTTTGTCAGATATAGGCTAGTTTTAAGAAATACATGATAAAACAGCTTGCCATATACTCAATACGCGTTTAGGTTAAGTACAACTAGACTACTTTTCAGTTGACATAAGTCAACGCAACAGTCAGGGCGTGATTTGCTGAAAAACAGACCAAACTCTCCCATCTGACGCAGGTGTATATACCAAGATAGTAGCAATTACAAAAAGCGCCCTCTGTGTGTGTGTGTGTGTGTGTGTGTGTGTGTGTGTGTGTGTGTGAACGCCCCCTAACAGGTTACAGGCGTTATACAGAAACTATTCTGATACAGCCAATAAAACATCAAGTGATAACATTCTCTATAAATCGACATGGCATTACTAGTAATCCAGCACATCCATTAGGCTATCACAGGCTGTCCCACAAAACCCAGTGAACCGCCTAGCCCTAGATAGACAGCAACGCTGGGCATCATAGGCGCGTTAGGAGCCCTCTCAGCTCATAGATAACGCGCCTATGATGCCCAAATATGCTGTCTGGGCAGGGAGCTCGCTAGGCTTAGAGACACGGCGGCGTGTGAAAGTGTTATAGAGATAATTGCTGATGCAGTTCACGGATTCACGCGTACTTTGGCCCTGCTGCCTAACAGCATTAATGCTGCGACCTAAATAGAGCTGGAGCTGGTACCTTTAAAACGCGTATTCCTGTTCCTGCTCGGGCTGTCGGTGCGGTGGCTCGGTCATGCAGCACCGGGTTCAGCGCTGCTCCTCTGCCCGCCCGGCCATCCTCCACATCAGCTGCATTTCTCCGCTCCGTGTCGGCACTCTGGAGGAGCGACCGCGCTGTGCTTTTCTCGTCCTTCATTTCGCCTACATTTGACGTCTTTCAGCACATAAATCCAGATGTAGAAAAGCCACTGGCGAGTGCTAAATTCCAGTACAGGAGGCGGTAGAAAAAGCCCATCCTGATTTGATGAGACGCCATAGTGGGACTGAAGCTCACGGCTGTCAAATAAACCCAATCAATAAACATAAGGGGGCGGCGCTACTTATTATTCATAGTCACCTCTCATTCCTGTACTTCCGCTACTGAAGTATTCATGAGGACACTTAAAGTCCACATGAAATCAAAATGGAAGGTTTAGGGCTTTTAGTATGAATATGTTAGCCTTACTGTTATCTATAAGATAGTTTGTTCCAAAACAGAATTCGCATTTAGAAGATTTTGATGACATCACTCTGCACTTCAGCTTCTCCTCAGATTTTCTGTCCAATCAAAGGCTATCTAGAATGTAAAGCGTCCCACCTCCTACATTATAAATAGATTCTAAAGCTGCAGCTAAAATCGGTCTATTCTCTGAATGACACTTAGTGATAAAGGGGATTCAGAAATTGTAAATATGCTTTCCATTGTGGCAATGAAGCCTGGTTTAACGTTAGTGTCACGTGAACAGCCACAGCGCACATAGTTTGCTCCGGTCCAGAGACACGATAGCACAGAGCGCAACTTGACTCTTCTGTAGTTACATCGTGCACTAAGACCGACGGAAAATGTAAAGTTGCGATTTTCTAGGCTGATATGGCTAGGAACTATACTCTCATTCCTGCGTAATAATCAAGAAACTTTACTGCCGTACCATGAGTGCAGCAGGCGTAATGATATGACGCAGCGCCTGAAAATAGGCTACCTTCCGTCAACACAACGGAACTATTTTCAGGCGCTGCGTCATATCATTACGCCTGCTGCACTCATGGTACGGCAGTGAAGTTTCTTGATTATTACGCAGGAATGAGAGTATAGTTCCTAGCCATATCAGGCTAGAAAATCGCAACTTTACATTTTCCGTCGGTCTTAGTGCACGATGTAACTACAGAAGAGTCAAGTTTTAAATAGGAAAAATATCGAAACTCTTTGGTCATTTTTTTTTTTTTTGAAATGCCAATGGTCTTGTCCACTTCAATGATGTATGCTAAGCTATGCTAAAAGTGGTACCGCCAGAACCGGAGATCGGCTGAATGGATTCAAAAACGGTAAAACTCAACAGTTTAACTCTGGGGGAGTTGTAAAATGAGCCTATTTAAAAAAAAAAAAGTGGAGTATCCCTTTAATGGCTCTGGCCAGGCTGTGATTTTATGAACGAAACGCTATTGGCTATTTTTTAAAAGGGGAGGAGCTGTTCAAAATGTCCTGCTATCGTACAGTTTCAGTGAAAATTACGTTAACATATTAAATAATGCTGTGTTTCAAACTTTCAAGGCACTTCAGTGGGCCTTTAAGCTAAAACTGGTGATTTAAAATGGATCGTATTAAAGGGGTCGATTAGCCACAGTTTATTATCAGTCACATTTTATTCAGAATTGAGCACAGGCTGAACACTTACTGAATACGCAGATAGCCAGAAGAGAAAAAAAAAAAAAAAAAAAAAACCATGATTGTAGGTATAATCAATATCTATTTAGTTTCTGATAAACATAAAAATTACACTTCCTTCATCAGTTTGTATTGTTAAAAGATTATCAGGTCTGTAAATCTGAAATTTGGAGTCATATATGGCTACTCTCTTATCGAAAATGACTGAACTGAACTCTGCTACCCATACTGGAATGATTAGCTCTTCTTGTGAAATGTGTTTTGTGCAAGTTAAACTTTAAACTCAACATGTAGCACACTATAAATCACAGTCATATTGAGATCCATGAGGAAGAAATGACAACTGACGCTTACCAGTTTGATAATAAATTACATAAAACATGAGTTAAGGAATTTATGGGTGTTTCTTCAACTGTAAGCACTTTAAAGAGATAGTCCACCCAAATATGAACATTCTCTCATCATTTACTCACCCTCGAGTTATGCAAAACCTGTACGAGTTTTTTCTGTTTTACACAAAAGATGATATTTTGAAGAATTTTGGTAACCAAACAGTTGCTGGTCCCCATGGACTTCCCTATGGAATATTTCCATAAGTAAATTGGGCCCATCAACTGTAGGCTACCCATTTTCTTCAAAATATTCTCAAAAAGAAATTCATGGTTTGGAACAGCTAGACCTGGAGAGCCTAGATGACGTATGCGAGATGTAATGAGTGAAAGAAAGAATGCAACATTAAGGTAAATGTGAGCAGAACATTTTTATTGTGCATCATTTCCAGTCAAGCTGCAATTGTGTTGTCCATATGTTGGACATTGGAGGACAAACTTAGTTGTTAATGAAATAAATTCCATGTTTAAAGCCAAGGTGTTTCTGTAACTTGAGTACAAATGCTGAGATGGAGACATACGTGATCACATGACTATACTAAAATTATATAAATATTTGCAATTATGATAAAACGTTTTCTGATCTCATCCCTGGAGATAAGGCTTCTAAATCCATGAAGTGTCAAAGGTAATTGTATTAACCTTTACGTTCTGTTTAAGGTATGAGAGAATTGAATAGTTTAAATCAGTAGTGCTAAACTGGTTGATCCAATTTTATGTACTGTCTCAGTTTACTTTACGTACACATTGTAAGAATATTACTGATGAAAAAACAATATAAGGTAAGGCTATTAAATAAAATTCCAAACGATTTTTATTACATTTAGTAAGTTGGTATGAGCCACCACAGTCATTTCCAAAATAACACAATGAAGATAAAGTGGCATTTTGGGATTACGGGAACAACAGTTGCATGGTAAATGCACAATAAAATGAACTGTTAATAAAACCAACCCGATGAACAGAATGTCATAGTCAGCAAATCCTTAGCTAACACGCGAAGTGCCAGCTACGTAATTTTTTGTTAGTTTTTCGTAATTTCATGATTAGCCTAATTGACTACGTAGGTAGGCCTAATGCAATGATGGCATGCTCGTAGTTTCTTTTGCACTATTTATAATGAAGTGACGTACAGCGCGCGCCGCCGCATTTGCGCGTGGAGAAGAGCGCGCGCTACGGCTGACAGGACAGGAAAGTTCATAATTCTGAGGTGAGACTTTTAATTACGAAATTAACGTTAGAATCATGACACTGACAACATCTCATCTGACTGCAGATACTGAATTAAGACAACGCATTTTTCCTCAGGCACTCTGAACGGAAAATAATACGTTGATTTTTAATTTAGCCTATTATTTTTACATTAATATTCTGCTGAGCAGACTGTAGTTCTGTTTGAGGGTAAAGATGATGAAACACAATAGAACATGAAAGATTATTGTATAATTCAGTCTCCATTTCATTTGACAGGACATCAGGAATAATCGTTTTGCCTCGGCTTCCATGACATGAGCGATTGCAGTATTCAAGTTTAACACAAGAGGGTGACAGCAGACTACCGTTTCCAAACTCAAACTATATCATCCAGAATGGTGCTTTACAGATTCTGTTCAGTTACAACTGAAGAAAAACATTTCCAAAACACAACAACAGACATCAAGTTTGACTGTTTTATTATTTCATTTGATCATTTTCTCCAACCCAAAGACAATAATACACAGCATAAGTCTAAAATATCCCATGTCATTTTCATCCGTCACAAATTCTTTTCAGTCCCAACACTCATTCCTCGAGGACATGGGACTGTGATTCAGTTCAGCATGTCAAGCTCATTGGGGTCATCCGGCCCTCCTGCACAAGGTCAGATGTGGTTGAATAGCGAGTGTAAAATATCTGAGAAGGGCATGTATAGATACACTTCAAAAACAACCGATACCTTTACAGATTACAAAGGGATTCTGATGGAGAAGGCAATCGTCCAAGCATGTGATACAGTGTCCACCTGGTCAAACAGTTACACCCAAACTGACTGACCACTTCCAGCACAAAGAAAATCTGCTTCTCAATGAAGATTAATGGAGAATCAACAGCATATTTCCAAATCTACAAAGGTCTGTGCATGTATCGCAAGATATAGTGAACAGTGGTGACTTAAGAATTTAAACTTAGCTTGCATTACCTCAGGAAGTTTACATAAAGAGTAGAAATGACAATATTTACATTGCTTTTTTTCACATGCGGCTGGAAAAAAAAAATCATTGTTTGATGTTGGGAAACTTGCTGAGAGACTTGGCATGTTTACAGATGGATATTTCGCCCTCTTCAACACACAATCGCCTTTGCCTGACAAAGTAGTGTAAAAAGCAGCATGATTGGAAAAGGTTGTATTTTGAAACTTCTCTTGCGCAGTGCAATTTCATAGCCATTTACTATTGTTATGCACCTCACGACTGCAGGCCGACGTTTAATGTACCACCCCCGCATTAAGTTCACTCAAGAGTCATCGAAACACTCAGGGATGAGGCCATGATTTCACACCAGGGCATTTTATCTGAAGCCGTGCTTCAAAAAGACTGTTTGGGAATATTGGTCAGATGTGTGAATCTAAAACCCATGGAAATACCGATAATGTGGTTTATGGGAAATCTTTTAACTATAAACTTTGGATTTAAGCTTACCCCCACATATCAATGTTACTATAAAGAGGTCTGAAGGTAGTCATACAAACCTGTATGACTTTCTTCTGTGGAAAATCAATGGGGTCCAATCTGTTTTTGGACTCAATCTTCAAAATATATCTCATGTACCACAGAAGTCAGTCAGTCATACAGGTTTGGAACAACATGAGGGGTGAGCAAATAATGAATTCTTTTTATTTTTTGGGGTGAACTACCCCTTTAAAATCACATTATTATATCTGAATAACTGGGAAGAACATGAGAAAGAAATCAGCTCCAGGCCACCATATCGAGAGGAGAAATTACATCTGTCTATATGCAGCATTTCATTCTTTCAGTAGTACATGACTGCGATACACATCTACTAAAAACCAATGCGAACTCGAGATCGTGTGCACATTACACCCCCCTAACTGAACGTCATAGGTCTTCAAATGGGATTTTTATTTGATTTGATCTTTTTTATGCGTTTTACAATTATATACAATATACAGGCAGCACATAGTACATTTTCTTTCCAATAAACAATCAATCAATCAAACAAACAGGTAAGTTGTTAAATTAGACTATTTTCTGAAGGAGAGCTTCAAACATTATACACTGTGCAGTACTGAAAGGAAGTCTTAGAAAATGGGATCTTAAAAAGGGATGAAAAGAACAAGCCGATACATCTTAAAAGCCCTCAGTACTGTATGTACAGAAAAAGCCAGGAAATCGAAAGAATCGCAACAAAAGACAGACAAAGCAGCTAATAGAATCATGTCGTTTTTCTCCATATACATAACATAGCTAAAATATATTTCCCAAGCCCAAAAGAACACCTTGATTTGGTCACCAGACTTGGCGAATGTAATTACGCAAAGTGATGAAGATAAAAAATGAAGCGCAGCGAGAGATGACATGAGGGTGCGGACGCGAAGGGTTTCCACCGAGCATTTCAACGACTTGAAGCACTAAGTACTCTTTCAAGTTGACAGACAAAAAAAAAAAGAAGACAATGTGAGGTATATTCAGGTTAATGTTGCGAACTGCCTTTGGAAGCTGCAAGAAGAGACAGCCTGCACACGAACTAACACACATGGACAGTACGCACTTGATATTTGAGTTAAGACGCCCTCTGAATGAGAACTCGAATGAAATGACAGCAAAACAAAAAAGTCCTCTACTCTTCAAACATCACGTTCTTGCTCTTCCTGTAACGATAACCGCTCATCTCGCAGACATCTGAGGGTTTTCTTTTAACCGTTTATGACAAAGGCACATTGCTTCAAATCAGGCAATAAATCTGTACTTCAAATCACTGCAGAAAGTCAAAACAACAAAAGAAAACAAACAAAAAGTCCATTCAGTGCATATAACTACATTCAGGAAGGCCTTATATTCATAGTCTATATTTACAGCATCTATGCTGACCATAACCTTCTTATGGGCCTCTATTTGTGTTAATTTAATTTGAATTTTAAGATCATGCTGGCCAACTACATTTTTAATAGGATCCAATCTTTAAGGATTGTGCTAAAATCAAACTTCTTTAGTGTAGGCTATTTTCAATCTATATAAATGCATTTCGATATTTAAAAAAAAACAATACAAGAACACACCATCTGTGATGAGTAGAGGCAAACAAACTAACTATATGCCAAATTAAGGGTTTTGGGGAAATGAGTCCAGCTTCGATGATACAAAACTACTGGGTGATGTAATGCATACAGACAGTAACAAGCAACACTCAAACTCCCCATCTTCTCATCCACTCAACAAAACTCAAGTTTACCTCGAATGGAAACGCTCCAGTTTCATTGTCAAAGACAAAAAACTGTCCTGCTTAAAAAAAAAAAAGTTATTTGAACTTGCCTATTCATGATGATTCACGTGATGAAGGTTAAGCACTTCTGGACAGATCTGTTAGTGTGTACATTACAGCTGGCAGACAATGTGCCGAACGTTGTAGCCACAACATAGCTTGTATCCGGAGCATTCATCGGGTATACTTTATTATAGGACATTAGATCAACCTTACACGAAAATTAAGAAATGCCATGTACAATGAACGATAATTTAAGGCGCCATCACAACCCATTTTCCTCTTGATTCTGAAATGCTTAAGGTGCAAATGTTCAGACTTTGCAATTTATTCAGTATGTTTTTTGTTTTTTTTCTCCTTAAAATAAACCAAACCCATTAACAAGATTAAAAACATGGAAAATTCAAACAAAACAGACAAATCAAACAAACAGCTCCTTTGTATAGTGGCCACGAGTGACTTTTTTCCCCCGTGTACGGGCCCCTGGGCGGCAGGGTGAGCCGGAGTGTGGGAGGAGTGCACTATAGTGAGAGGATAAGTGAGAGTGCACAACGTTAAGTGCAAGTATGAGTATGGACATTTTGCACTAATCCCGAAGCAGAGAGAAAGGACAGACGGGCAAAAAAAACAGGTGAAAAGATATGCATTCAGATATTTGTGATTTTTCTTCATCATTGTCGCTGTAATCGTCATCATCATTAGTCTTCATACCATCAACTCTTGACTGTGTCAGGAAGATTCCACTGCTTCCCATGCAACCCCAGGGCAGCGATCTGTGGTGATGTCACGGGGGATCATTTGGGAATGGGGAGGGGACATCTTTCCCATAGTTCCCTTGCTGGGGGTCTTTAAGATTGAGAAGGGTAGCAAATCACTGCCAGGACTGAGGGGGGAAATTGTTGACCTCGGCCAGGTCTTGTACAGGAGAGCCTTTGTGAGTGTATGTCAGCTTGATCCGCATTCGCAACTGTTGCTAAAACAAAAGAGGAAGTCAGGCACATGCGGAAGCAGATATGTGCAATTCTTTAACATGTAAATATCAGTCGATGATTTTTTTCGGGGGGGGGGGGGGGGGGATTTTTATCTCTACAATAAAAATTGAGACCTTCAGGTTTGCTCTGCTTGTTTGTATTATATATGACTATATAATAATAGCATAATAATAATTTTAAAAATTATTACTAAATAAAAAACTATTAAAATAAGAAATATGTCATTAAAAACATAACTATTTTACAGTACTAATATTTCTTCATTTACAGTCTTTGCAATTTGATAACTGCGTGATCTCGGTTTTATCCCGATAAATCGAGCAGCCCTGTGAAAAACATTGACTTCAGCACAACTAGCCTAATCAGATTGTTCTCACACATTTGATTTCAATATCTAAAAACCAACGTCTCACTGGCTGATTTTTCAGTATTAACCTTCATTTACATTGTTGCTGGACAGAGGGAGGCTGTTAACATTAATCGAAACCTTTTCTCTGTAAATGCAAAACCACATGTGCTGTTGTGGTGGTAGTGTTGCGGTGTTTTTCTAGGGTGCTCTTAGACTTATGACAGCCTACAAGGGACAATTACACATTCACAGGGTAAAGTCACTCCATGAATTCTAATTCAATTTTGATTGTTTGTACAGAACTCATAATCTAATATAGCCAATTCATGACAGGGAATCTGAGAAAAATGACTAATCAAGGGTGAGATTTCAGAAAAACAATTGGTAGGCGTGACGCCCTTGACCTGATTTGAATCAGCTAGCGAGACGCCACCTTAAACATAAACCATCAAAGTCACTGAGATGTGACATTTCCTCCTATTCTTAAACCAAGATAAATAATGGCTGCCACAGGCTTTTTAAAGCAAACTTTCACCTTCAGGGTAAAATTATTCAACTTTACTCCGCTCCAACGCTGATCAGACTTCTGAAGCTGTTTCAGGACAAATGACTGATCTCTGAAGATCTCTGAAGAGCAATGTTTTACCTTTTGTGGGTTGAGAACCCTGATGACCTGCGTGACGCTTCCCTGGTTGACTGCAGGAACTACATTACTGCTGGGGGACAGAAGCTGCAGCTGGAATGTCTAAAAACACAAACAAACGTTTAAGTATTTGGCTGAAGCAAAAATTTCCAAATGACATATATACTTGCACAACTATATTCCAACATTAAAAGGAATTTGGTCAAATTTTGACTGAATGCATCACTTTCAAGCATTAACCTGACTGCAGGGCATATGCAGAGTTTTAAAATCAAATTTAAGACTTTTTTTTTTTTCGTCCCCATGCTTGGGATGGCCCTACGTATAACCATAACCCATACAATCTCAACAGGGCTTTTCACACTGCGCTTAATCCGGTGTCATTCAAAGCCCTCCTTTTAACCCCAGGAAAGTTCACACTTTTATTTTAGAAGTGGGGTTAGCAGCACTGATAGTGCAGGGTGGGAAATTAAGTGAATTAAGACTTTTCTTATTCCATTTAAGATATTTAAAGGTGCAGTAAGCAATTTCTGAGAAATGCTGTTGAAAGTTTAAATCAACACCTAAAAGTATTTTGTGAATATTTGCTAGATGTTTGTTTTGTGTGCAAAAAAAAAAAAAAGTCCTGGCTGTATAAATAGGAGAAAAAAAACTAAGTGGATCGACAGTAGAGGGCGTATAACTCTCATAATGGGGAAAGGGAGTGTGTGAGTGAGTGGGACATTTGTAGAAAGAGATGGCTAAAACATTACCAAAGAGGAAAAGGTCAGAGGACTATATTTGGAAGGGTTACAATCAGACAAGAGAGATGCAGGATGGCCTGAAACGGACGACGAGGTTCCTTTGTTTCTGCTCTATCTGTGAGTAACATTGTTTTTTGCCATGTTTCACAGAACCAAGAAATGCTGTTGAATCAAAGCGGATACTTGTGAGCTATCTGATGCGGAAGCTGTTAGTGGTTGCCTGTGTTGCATAGCATGTTCGCTATTTTTAGGTTTTTGAATAATTAGCTGGATTACCCAAATAGGGTTCTCTATAAACAATACAACTAGAAGGGAAAAAACTAACAAACCTTTGGTACTGCAGCCTGGAACACAAAGTCTGTCATGTCAGCCTCGGTGGAGTTGGTGGCGTGGATGGTGATAACTGCAATATTGGGATTGGGGTTGGCCCTCTCGAATGTGAACTCAATTTTCAGACCATTTTTGTTGTACGCTGTCATTGGCGGAATGCCTGCAAGAGAGAAACGGATATGATAATTGCATTGCCCTATTTTGCATTAATCATTATGATGAAATTTAATGTAAGCTCACCCGCTGCAATGTCATTGAAAAGGGGCTGCGAAGAGAGACCATCCAAAAGGAAAGGGGGCTGGGACATGGGAACAGAGGGAGCAGGGGTGGGGGTTGGACCACCTAAGGAGTGAGAAGGGTTTCACCCAAAAATAAAAATTACTGGTGAAGGAAAGTCATTCGGGTTTGGACCAAATTGAGGATGAGTAAATTACTAGGGCAGATACAGTACAATTTTGTTTTGTAAAATCTCAAATAAAACTTCACAGAGAACCCTGACAGTTGGTATATAATAATATTAAAGGTTAAAATTAACAACTGATTTGTATAAACATTTAAATAGCAAAAAAAATTCTAATAGGTTTATACTAATTTAATGCTAAAATAGATTCTACTCTAATTACTTTTTTTGAAATATAAACATTTAACCAGTGGCTGCAAAAAATACAGTGCAAATATTTAGCAAAACACTCCTCGCTAGGGGTGGAACGGTACATGTATTCGTATTGAACCGAAACGGTACGGGCGTCACAGTTCGGTGCACGAATTTACACGGAGAATACATGGTATAAAAATAAATAAAACTCGCGTGCAAATTAATTAATGTAATGCGGAACTACTGTTAGATACGCGGGTTCTTTAGGGACACATAATCTGTACCATCGGCTTAGCTCTGAACGCGCGTTCACTTCAAACGTTGGCTTTATACGCGCGTCCTATTCGCTTTGGACTAGCGTCGAACTAGACGCGATAGACGCTCTATTCGCATTTGGTGTGACCGCATAAGGCTGCGATGTCAATATTGCATGGAGTGTGTGTGTGTGTGTGCGCGCGCGCGCGGGCGTGATAGAACAGTGGAAACAAAAAACATACTCCGTCATTTTGTTCATACAGATCATTAAAACTTATATTTGTGTACACTCGCAATAAAACACAACATTGTACTTTTGTCACACTGTAAACTCTTGTCAAACTGTAACCTAGAACTGTCACCCAACTAAAATCACACACACACTGTTTTAAAAGCAAAACATATTTCTCCAACTCCATTTCAAAACAGTCTGTGGGTCCCATCTTTTGGACATTCGTCATATTGCATTGGTTTTCATTTCTTGTCCTCGGAGCACTAATCTTACACATTCTACATTGATTAAAAAAAGAAAATCGAATGTGTTTTTAATGGTAGTATTATTTTATACAGAAATCAATTATTTATAATTCAGATGAGAATAATGTTACATTGTCAATTAATAATGTTAATTAAAATTTAAATACTGAAATATAGCAAAATAATTTAAAATTAATTCAGGTACAATTACCAAAAATATCGCAAGGTCTTTGTCTTTTTATTAATTTAATTAATAAACTAATTATATAAAACTATTGTCAGTGCACTACAAATAAACTGTTTCTATGCCTTTATTAATAAAACTTATTTAAAAAATACAATGCCTTCTGCATTTTTGTTTTGCTTTTCCCTCCATTGTACCGAAATCGTATCAAACCGTGATGTATGAACCGAACCGTGACTTCTGTGTACCGTTCCACCCCTACTCCTCGCTGGAGTTTTTCTGCAGGTGAAACACGGATTGAGACATGATACATTTCGATGTTTCACTGTATCTTTCAACACACCTTCTGATGTTCATTCATGTTTATTTCATGCTATAACTAGTAGTAGAGAGGAAGAGATGATCGGTTCACATTATTGTTTGAATTTCATACTATAAATGACAGAATTTGTAAGCTGAGAATTTGTTTTACATAAAAAGTAACAAAGCTTATTGTGCTTTATTGGATGGGAGGCACGCTACAAATAAAGTTTAGTAAAGTTTTGTTCACACATCAACAGAAAACAGCATAGACTAAAAGATCAATGCTTGGAATTTAAGAATTGATATCATTTCATCAAAATGAGAATAGAGCCCTATAAATAAGAAATTTTTATTTTTGGGTTAACTACTACTTTAAGGACTAAATGACAACACTGTAAACTCAGTGCTCTAAACATGGAGAGACAGGAATGGCAGGATGTGAATTTGGTACAGAACAGCAGAAGTGTACCTGTCAGAGAAAGGTCGCCCAGCAGATCCAGCAGTTCTCCTCCAGCTGATGCAGGCTTCGTGGGAACAGTTGTTTGGATAACAGGGACCACATCATTACCTCCAAGTAGATCTAATAAATCATTTGCCTGAAAAACAGGAAACAGACCATTAGCTTAAATATTTCACAATGGCTAAATATCCCTCTTTATCTGCTCAACCATACAGGAGAAATTTTTTCATTATTCTAGTATAGCGGGTCCCAACCCCTTGCTAATGGCTCCACCGCGCAACACATTTTGGATATCTCTCTTATCTAGCACACCTGATTCAACTCATCATATCGTTACTGGAGCACTCAGTGAACTAAACTGCCACTGTTTGAATTGCCAAACAGAAGCATAAGAAATTAATTAAATGAAGAATGTACTTATTACCCGTAGATGATGTAAATTATATGGACAAAAGTATTGGGACACCTGACCATTACACCAACAGGGACTTTAATGACATTGCATTCTAAATACAAAGACATTAATTTGGAGTCTGTACAATTTTACAAACTGACTTATTGCAAAGGGCTAGGTGCTTAATGTTATACACCTGTGGCAATGGGTTTGATTGAAACCCCTGAATTCAAGAATTAAGAGGTATCCCATTACTTTTGTCCATATAGTGTATGTTTTTTAGTTTATATTCTTTCCCAGACACATTACATTCACCATGTTGTCAGCCTTTTGACCCCATTCTTTGACCCATAACATACTAACCACAACAAAAATAACTTACTCAGCTATTGTTCTGGGGAACGGCGTTCTTGGTGCCTACAATACTTACATTTGAGCTTCCCCGCACACAGCTCTCTACAATTTTTTTTTTTTTTTTCTAATCTGACAACCCCTCATCTCCCATGGCATAGTGAAATAGCCAATAAATTGTGTGTCATGTATAATGGTACAGTATCAACTCATTTGACATTGTTTTTGCTTGTGTATGAAGGAAGTACACAGATTCAGAGGCTGAGTACGCTGTCAGATTATTGAGATGCCTAAAATGTGCATTGGGTTGGATTGAAAAACCTTGCTCTAGAAAACTCACCTGACTGGCTGGTTGAGTGATGCTGGGCAGGTGTTTTGTGTCCAGTATGGTTGATTCTGTTTCCCCATTGGTCTGCACAATCTCTGCTGGGCCGTTAGTGGCTGTTTTCTCCATGATAGGCATTCGCTCTAGTAATGCAGGTCTTCATGGGAAAGATAAAGAAATAGGGTGAGGACAAACAAAAGATAGGGGTGAACCATCAAATATAAAAAGTGACCGTCTGTTGGAATTGAGACAAACATGAGTCTGGAACTGTAGGTGATCTTTTACCTCATGTGATCATATTTCTTGAAAAGTGCATTATATTCCACAGCTCTCTGCTGCAGCTCCACGTCTATGCTGCTGCCATATATTGACACCACTTTTTTGATTCGACTGTAGGGCAAAATGAAAATAAATGGAAGATCATTGCCTCATCCGTTTGGGGACACAAACTCATTTCAAGAAAATATATCCCTGTATCAAAAGTGAGTCAGAACAAGTATGCTTACTTCACACTGCTGAAACGGGTGGATAGCTTCATGATAGCAGTCAGGGAATAACCTCTCGTTACAGGGGTGGACAAGTTAGAAACGAGGAGACCTTCTAAAACATCCAGGACCTCATCTTCAGAAACCTTTCAGATTAAATCAGAATGATACAATTGTCCTGCCATTAAAATAACTGTGCATGTGTAGTTTGAAGTGCCCATGGAGGCATTTACCTGAATAGGTTCCTCTTCCTCACACTGGCCTGAGACCAAAAGGTCTCCATATTCTCCTATGCACCAGGATGCCACCTGTACTAGAGGTTGCTATAGGAAGAAAAGTTTTAGTTAGTTCACACAGACATAATTCTGTTATCATTTAATTATACAATTGTCATTCCAAACCCACATGACTTAAATTCTGTCTAAACTTTTTTTCTGTATGTGCATTTCACAGAAGCAACACCACAGATCCACATATGTACAGCTGGCTAATTAGAGTTCTGTAAACCAAGTCTGAATAAAAGGTGTTTATTGTGTTTGAACTAGTTTGGAGGATGGCATTGAAGATCAAGGCATTGCTGCAAGTGCTCTCAGGTGAGAGTGCGTCTTTAGAGAGCATCATATTTTTGCTGTGCAGAAAGCTCTTATATTAAGATGGTTTGGCCATGTTTTATGAAAATGACTACATGTTGTGAATTAGGCAAAAAAAAACAACAAAGAAGTTCTCCTATGCGTACAAACACAAAATGGTCCATAGTGAATGAGGCTCAAAGTCTAAATGGGGCCTAATGCTTTCAAGCTTAAAAATGGTTTACATTTCACTCTGTTGTTCATTCAAAGCTACTGTATGACTTCAGAAGAATTTAGGCACACAAGTTGCATAATCTTTTTTTAATAGTTCTCGGTCATTATATTCACTTTGAAATGACCAATTAAAAGTCAAATGAGGAAAACAGTGTTAAGATGATTCTAACCTGAGAGATGTCATCCAGGAGGGCTTTGTAGAGTCTCTGTACAGTGTAGGCATGCATCTCTACACTATTTGTAATGAGCTGAATGAGGTTGGGCACAGAGTCATCCCGGACATAACTCCCTGCCTATAAAAGCAGACACAACAAGGGTGTTAATTCACTTTGCCACCAAAAAGGGGCTGTTTCATACATTCCCACTTCAGAAAATGTGGCTCTGGACCTGAACAAATGGCCCTGGTTTTGAACCAAGAACTGATAACTTTCAGGCCAGAGGGCAGGATCATTTCTGTAACAAATAACTGCAACTCAATCAGGAAAGACTGCTGCAAAACTAGACCGAATTAAATTATAGTGGATGTTAAAATGTCCTCAAAACTCTTAAGATATTGTGTGTTTACTTGTAGGCTGGTTATGTCATAATTTTTCTCAAGTAAAACTGATTCTGAAAGAGGTCTGCAGATTCCCCGGCCAAGCACTGGCTTCAGCAGGAGTATCAAAATCATTTTGGTGGAACAAGGGTATCACATGACACACACACACAAGTCAAAAACACATTACAAAGGCTAAGATTAAGAAAATCTATTGTCTGCGATAACAATATTATTCTTTACAGTCTACAGTCAATATCATCAGCAGCACTGTTAAAAAATTTAAAGTATGCTGTCTATTCAACAGCATACTTTAAAGTCAGCAATAAATTCACCCTATTTTCTAAATGCGTGTTATAGATGTTATTTGAATGATTCCTCTGTTCATGTTTTTTTTTTTTTTACCATAATTTTTTTGTAAAAATGTCATCTTACTGTCATTGGGACAGACTTCTTTCTGGTGATGTATGCAAGACTTCTCCAATCATTTAGTCTTCTTAAACCCCAACCGTACCCACATATCAAAATCCAATCAACAAAGTCCCCATTCAGCAGTTTTTCTTTTTTTTATAATCTATTTTGCTTGGATGTCCATCACAATTAGAGGTCGACCTATTCATCGGTACCGATAGTTGATTGGTGGAACTATCGTTATCGGCAAAAATCCACACCGATAGTTTTTCAGGGTTTTGTCCGTTGCTGGAGCGGCTGAGGTGGTGCGCTTTCATTACACAGCATCAGAGCGCTGAGAAGAGACTGCTGGCATTATACAGAGCGAGAGGCCAAGTAACAAACTATCACTGGCTGAGTTGTTTACGTTTCACGGAGAGCGCTGACACTTCAGATGCGCATTTAAAACACCGACAGCAAAACAGTATCGGTAAAATCGACCTCTAATCACAATAAAGGAAAAAAGGCCTATCGATATTTCTTTTGCATCGCAACTTTAAATTTACATCAAGTGGTAAATATTGAAATATTCATGAATGTGATCAAATTCAAGCAGAATATAGAGTACAAAAATAAGAGATATTTACCGTTGTCAAAACCCTCATAATAGTGTCTATGTGCCATCTTTTGGAGGGCGCATACCTGCAACAAACAAGTGTTAGTTATTTCTGCAAGCCAGTAGACTAAAGCTCACAGTCTAAAATATTAAATCAAGTCACAAAAGCAAAAAGCATAAGTAAAACCCTTTAAACACTCTTAACCAAACTCCTTTTAGTACTGTCAGATAAAAGGTGTCAACAGAGTCAACTTCTGCCGATGGATCACTCATTTTATCATCACACAGTCATGAGTCACTCGAACAACTCTAGAAAACCTCTTTGCATTTCAAGGGCTTGGTTATTGAATATGATCGGATCCACTTAACTAAGCTTTTATAATATTTAAAAACCTCTAACAACAGTCTTCAGACTTTTAAAAGGGCTACAAGGACGTGCAACACGACTGCTGCGAATCCATTCTCTCAATATGGGAAACGTTGGCACTTCCTCTCAAATGATTTGTGCTTAACACGATTTACGTTTTCACAATAAACAGCCTTACTTCTCAGCAGCCAGAAAGATCCCTGATGCGCAGTCTGCTTTGAAATCAGGGTCACAGGAGTCCAGGAAATACAGAAGTTCTTTCATCATGCCCCGAATGTTGTTGCCGTTGACCAGGGCAAAGCTCAGCTCCATTGCACGCCTGTGGAAGGACAAGTGTAAGCAGCAGGACTCATCCTCTTAAGCCATAACTGATATAAAAGCCATACAGCCTGCACATAATTGACCTTTTAATGGACACATCAAGGTCTTTCAAGCAGTCCACAATAGTGCTTCGATGTCTCTGCACAGCATTGTGGTCAGTCTGCACAGTCTTCAGTAGAGATGTCAATGCCACATATCTGATCAGGGAGAGTAATAATGTCAAAGCCCTATCATATTGACAATTGCGTCTAGTGTGGACAGCACATGAAATTAGCTTTTTCAATCCACAATAAAGCTGTAGTCAGAGACAATGAGATCATCAATGTAACACTCAGACGATGGATCACTCAATATCTTCATCACAGAACAGCACTTTTGGAATATAACACTTTGGTAAAAAGTCACTGGCAAAATACAAAACATACCTGATGTTTTTGTCATTGTTGAGAAGAAAACGTCCCAGAATGTTAATTGCTAAAACCTGTAATAAAATAAAAGAATTGAATAATTTTCTGCAGATACCAGTGTTAATTTTGTCAGCAAATTTTGATTTAGTTTTAGTCTTAGTCTTTTGACTAAAATGCCATTTAGTTTTAGTCATATTTTAGTCATCTGAATTGTTTTAGTTTTAGTCTAGTTTTAGTCGACGAAATACAATAACATTTTAGTCGACTAAATCTACAGTAGATTTAGTCGACTAAAATATAATGGGTTTAGTTCAATTGTAAGGCGTTAATTTAGAATTTCTCTAAAATTTCCAAACCCATATACTCCCGGAGAAAACATCTATTAACCTATTAATATGAATGATTTTTAAGTTTGAACATGCAATACAGATACAGATTTAACTGCTGTTACTTAAAAAATATCTTAAAATGAAATAAAACCACTTTTCCTAAAGTACAACACAGTCTTCTTTACAATGAATGATATATTCACTACTTACACATCATTCTTTATTCTTTCAAGCAGACATATTTATTTGTATGAATTAAATATAATTAATCCTTATTAAAGCTATTAACAAACAGTGAATGCTTTTCTCTTTTTCTTTTGTTGCTTGATCAAAATTAAGGACACGGACCGCATTAGGTTTATTGCCACTGTCACTTTAAGACGTCGGATCATGTCCAATGACATGCGGATACAATTGCACTGATGCACATCCGACACACTCACAGTTTAAGACATAACCAGCATAGTTTACATGAATACTCTCCAAAAAGGACATTTAGACATACTGTTGTGTATTTCTCCATTCAGACACGAAAGAGAGCTCAATTCAGTAGCCTACTCGCGCGCTGTAGGTGTATTGTGCATGACTGCACGCTTCGGGTTAGGTGTGTGCGCAAAGAAAACCGCACTGAGAGCTCTTTTTTGCATCGTCACTCTTATTCAGAGATCTATATGTCTGCCCTACTCATTCTCCCAGACGTTCACATTTTTTAACGTTTTATGACCGCGGGGTAGATCACGTTACAGTAGCCTACAAATGTGCGCATCTACCACACACGCAGGACATCAGTTCTGACGGATCGCTTCCCAAATCGTCACTATCTAACATTTTCGTCTAGTTTTTATTCGTTGACGAAAATGTCAATAGATTTTCGTCATAGTCTTTGTCATTCAAAACTAGGTTTTATTTAGTTATCGTCTCGTTTTCGTCTGTGAAAAAATGTCGTTGACGAATAATTTTCGTCGTTATTTTCGTCAACCAAATTAACACTGGCAGATACCAGGGCTCCAGACTGCATTTTGTGACCCCTTTTCTTGCTGGTGCGAGTAAATTTTCTTAGTTTGCGCACTGGTGCAACCACTACGTTGCCCAACTAATAAGAGCTGCCATTTCTGTTGCATATGAAAAACATCAAACGAAAAACAAAAAGCGGAAGAAACCGTGCTTCTCGTTCGAGAAGTCACGGACAGTTAATCAGCTCAGACCAATATTAGACAGCGCAGTAATGATGGGAAGTTCAGATCATTTTACTGGCTCTTTGAGTCTCGTTAAGCAAAATGAACAAATCTTCATTTCGTTAATTTCAGCAGAATATAATTGAAATGTTACATGTTAATAGCCAAATTCCCCAACACATCACATTTAGAATAAGAAAAATCTATAATGCAGCCAAGGCCAATTTTATGAGAAACAGTAATTCATTGCTTAGCTGGGGCCGATCTTAATCAAGCAACACCATTACACAGCGCTGGGAGATCCAGTGAGAAAGCATTTTAATTCACCTCAGTATTAATGACATCACTGCAAGATTTAGTGAGAAGCAGCATTCGAATTCGGCGCAGAATTCTCTGTTATAAACCATATCAGATCAAATAGTGTTGACATGGAAACCAGGAGAAACATTCTGCCGTGCAAAGGCAAAAGACCGTAACTTTGTTTTTGGTCGAAAATGAGTTATTGATATTTTTGGCACATTCAAGACCTCCTTTATCATGTGGATAAGTATCTTGAGTCAATTCCGTTGTTTTTTAGAGAAAATAATGGTTTGTCTTAACCGTAACTTCCAAAAGCCAATGAGAAACCAAGGCAGAACACCGTAACTGTTGTTACGGCTCTTTGGCTTTGTTTTGGAACGCTCATATCGAGTTACGGCACTCTGCCTTTGTTTAGCTGCGCGTCAATATGAAGTTACGGTGCTGGCGTTCTATCAAATAATGCTACCTATCAGATTATACGGTGTTCTGCCTTTGTTTTAGGCTACTCTCCATTAAAATTAAAATTACGATGTAGCCTGTGTACTTTGTACAGCTACCATCCGTCCCTGTAACTTCTGATATCATCAGAGCTTTGTCCTGCACTAATGCGGTCAGAACATTTAGTAGCCTATGCTCTTAACCCGCTCCATCGACAAACGTGCGATATCGATCGCGAAGGATATATGCAGAGTTGACAGACAAATGTTACACATACCGAAGCAGGTCAATACAACAAAGAACTAAAGCCCCGCCTCACCCAGTTCGGGTACCGGACCTAGTTGAAACAATCATGCATCTAGCTGGCAGAGTGCCAAAACTTCACCGGCGCCTTCAGCTCCGCCTTGAACACGGTCGAGCCGACGCGGGACTAATATCACAGACACAGAGTGATAATAATGAAGCAACAAGGTTATATTGTCGCATACAGCAGAATGAAGCAAGAAGTGCTGGTGCATACAACATCAGAACAGCTGTTAAAAGCATGCATACAAAACACAGCGTCCGGAATAAATCCGCGGGACGAGCGAAGTGCACGCACAATAATAGGCTGACAGCTGAAACCAACGCATACTGAAAAGACGCAGAACACAGAAGGTTGTGCTATAAAATGCATTAGTCGTCTAAGTAGTCCAGAACGCGCTCCCTACTGAGTCCTTAAGGGAAGCACTGCATTATAGGCTACTTTTCATGAACGGATCGTTACACCTTCGAACACGAATCTCGGTAAACGCCTGTGAAAGTATTCGTCTTTCAGATCCACGCACCGCTATAAACAGTCTCCGGGTCGAATGTGCGCGAGGATCTGTTTTATCGTGATCATTACATTACATTATAACGCGTGTTTAGCAAGTCTTATGCCACTCGGTACCACTTGAAGATACTCTTTAGTCTTTATGGAGGTATTTTGTCATGTCTAATGTATTAATAGGGCCACCAGAATGCAACCAAAGCACAATAACTAGAAGGCTAGGTAATTGTAAATTATACAAAATAAATGCCATGATCACTAGATTTTATACAGGTGTTACTATAATGATTTTGTTAATGGTGATCAGCAACCAAATATTGATAATGTGGAAGTTACTGGCTTTTGCCTTGGCATGACTTCTCACTTTTTGTTGACAATACAAAGGCAGAGTACAGTAACTTTAAAATAGTGGTCAAAAGTCAAGTTTGAGCTCAAAATTTTGTTATGTAGATAATTTTCATTACTTAAACATCTAATTGCCAGATTTTCAGTGTCCTACCTATAATTAATTTGGCGGGACAACTACAAATCTTTAAAGTCTTTTTTCTCAGTTCCACACTCTAGCGAGTTAAGGTCTTTTGCCTTTGTAGGGCAGCATTGTGCCATGAACAAACATGTTATAGAAGGCTTTTCAGTCCACAAATCACCAATTATTCACCAAGGATTTAATGTGGTAACTTATGGTGCTTTTCCATTACCAGTACCGACTCGGCTCGCTTTTCGCTCCGTTTTCCATTGCAGACAGTACCGCCACAAATAGTACCCGGTCGTCATAGCGACGCCGCAGGAAACTGCCGTGACGTAATCTTATACGAGAGTATACGAATCTTATACAAAGGACACTCTGCACTTCCTCGTTTGACCACAGCATATTCTTCCGAGTTGCCATAATAATAGTAGTAAGTTTAGTAACCATTTAAAAATGGCGGGGTTATTCTGGATACTCCATCTGGCACGTGCAATGATGATGCAGTGAATAGTGACGATTCTCTCTGACCAATCAGCAGTCGGCATTGTTTTCACGTCACATTTTAGTATCGCCTCAGCTCGCTCAGAACCTCGCCGGAGGTGATACAAAAAAAGTACCCGAAAACAGGTACAGGTACAACTTTTACACAGTGGAAAACCAAACAAAGGCGAGCCGAGTCGAGTCGAGCTGGTACTGTGTAGTGGAAAAGCGCCATTACTGTAAACATGGTATTGTGGCAGAAATAGTCGAATGTTTTTACATTATTCATTTGAAGGTTTGTACAACCTTTTGAAGGTGAAATTCAAGCATTTTTCAAGGACTTTCAAGTGCTTCACACTTTTTCCAGTTATTTTTAATGCGATAACCCAAATATTTGTATCTTTCTCTATAAAAAATTCTTGTTAATAAAAGTTCCTCAACTCAAGCTCATTGCTTTACTGTCAAAAATGCATTTCCAAGAAGTAAATGCAATATTATTAGTTACTGCAAAACAAGTCATTTTATGATTAATTTACCTTTATGATTAAAAATCCCCCCAACCCCCAGGTGCTACTGAATCAAGTTGTTGCCACCGTCTGTAACTTAGTGGCACAGGTGCTACTGCTCTGAAATGTTAGTCTGGAGCCCCGAGACACCCTTTGAATATCAGGAAATTTTGACAATTCAATCAGATTTCTGAGCAACACTCACCCTTAGTCCACTCTCTGATTTGATGTCCATAATAGTAAGAACAGTTTCGTAGAGGATAGCATTGCCTACATTTTTACTCGTCTCTGTGTTCGTTGCAACCTATTAAAAAATAATTTGATGGGAAATCTTTAGAAGGTAGAAAGGAAAAGGTATGTAGTTCTAAAGTGGATCTAAACAAACTGCTTACCTGTGCAAGAATGTCATTCATAGCTTCACTAGAATCATCATCACCCTTTCCCAGAATTCTCAGTAGCCTCAATATACGCACCTTCAAAAATGCCAAGAGACAAAAAGTGAACCATTGCTTTAGCATATAAAGAACAGATATCACCTCAATTGGAAAAAATGGATTGCAAACTTAAGGACCACTCTAAAAATCAATTTTGTGGATCTGACCAAACAAAGGACTTCAGATACATTACAGACTGTAAATCACATGGATGGCAACATTAAAGGTGCTGTAAGAGATGTTATGGAATGGCACTCAGGAAATATTCCTATTACATGACATATCACTGAAACTGTCATGTCTCGGTGACTACCCTAGGTTCTGTAAATGGGGTTCAGCTAATCAGAAAACTTACAGGCACTTTCTTCCCGTCAATTATTCTGCATGTTCATAGCTCAGTCCATATAAGGGAAGCAGGAAGTTGAGAGCATGTTGAAATGAATCGTTCAAGCGCCATTCTCCGCTTCACAAATAAAGTGTTTGTCATGGGAGTGTGCAATTTCCTCTAAACTGTCTTTGCAGGGTGGGGTTTTAGAGCTAGGGGGCGTGTCAAATTGTAATTCTGCCAGTAGTTCCAGAACAGCCGATATCACTTACGGCACTTTTAAACACAGCAACATAGACAGGAGATGATGTGTCTTTACCTGCAGGAAAGGGTCACTGATGCCGGACACATCATGCTCAGGGGAGTAGCCTGACATGATCAGATTCTTCAGGATTCTTACAAGTTGTGGAACCAGCTAGAAAAAAAGAAAAAAAAAGTGGGAGAAAAAAAAGGACTATCAGCGAGGTCACAGCAGGGTCATTGAGATTTCAAAACAGGACAGCACATAAAAAGGGTCCGTAAGTGTCAATACAAGTAGGCACCCTGAGTTGATCATCTTCCAATAGATTGGTTTCACTATACATTTAATTAAGATGTTTAAGACATGGATATCATGTCAGTGTTTTTGGTAATGGTTTGGCACTTTTTTTGTTTATTAATATAATCCTCATTAATTTTGGAAATGTCTCCATTTTAATTGTGCCCCCACTATAATGTACATATTGGAAAAACCACAACCCAATAGTGACCGTATGAAAGAGAACCATTAAAATTAATCTAAAGGTAAAAGCAGGACAAGTGAAAATGTATGAGGTCTACGTAATCCTGCATAAAAACAAAAGAAAACACTTAAATGACGACAATTGCAAAATAAACAGTACATCAAAACCAAAAATTGGACTACATCTACAGTGACCATGAGGATGAGTCTGTTTTGTTTTCTTTAAGAGCATGCACCAGCTATGAAACCAGAATGTCTTCTTACCTTTTCATTCTAATACAATGCAGGAATTGTAACAGACAAATGACAGAAAAAATATGAAGTAGATGTTAGGGGGGAATTGGAAAAAAGAGTCACTTTCAGAGAAGAGCTTAACATAATGCTACAGTTATGAGCATGAGAGGTGGGCGTGCTGGCACAGTAGATCTGGCTGGGGGTGGGAAGAGTAGAAGCAGATATACAGAGGAAGAACCCTTATTCATCATCTCCCAGTGAGATAAACACACCTGCAGCTAAATCTAGGACAAGCATCCAGATTTCAGTCAAAGGACTACAGTCTCATTTTAGTAGTCATGTCAACGCTATCAGCAACAGATAAGAGTGTTTGTCTCAGAGTGGCTGATGTGGTGCATAAACAGTTTTAGAGGTGACTGGTGAAGGTCAAGGCATGAACGCTTGCTATGTACCTTCCTGAAGTGAGAGAGCATGTCAGGACTTCGCTCACACATTTCAGTGAGCAGAACAACAGATGTGTGGAGAACTCCTGCAGAAAACACAGAACAATACATTGATATCTTTTTCTACATATTTCATTATGTAACTCATAAACAACCCATAAACGGTTCATTTACATTATGAAAATGAACAACAAATTGACATTCTGCTGTTGTTTAATGTAAAAGACTTTTTTTTTTAAAGTCTGTAAAAAAAGTAAAAGATTTAAATCTGAATGTATGAACAAAAGACATTCAAATTAACTCGTTTCTTAACAATAAAAAGCTAAAGTTTGCCATTTCTTAACTGGGGACTGACAGTAATTTTACACAAGGGCAAAATTGATTCTGTTCATTCAGGACGATGGTGGAGTTTGCTTTTGAAAGTAAGAGATGGACAAGTAAATGGAAAATGATATTGAGGACAGAGTAAATAACTAAATACTATATTAAAAACTAAATTGATAAGAACCAATTTAAACAAAGTAAGTTTCAAACATTTTAATTAGAAAAAAAAAGCCCTGACAGAAATTGCTATTTTTTTACATTGGTTTTTACATTTAAATCGGCAGCATCCACTCAAATCAAAGTTCACCCCTCCATATTCACTAAATTGTAATATCGCAATTAAAGAAAAGGTCATCTTAATTCAACATGCATTAATGTATTCAATATATTAACGCATATATGATGAAAATCTATTGCTTAGTAGGAATGATCTATCGGTTTATTCTTTTTAATGACAATAAAATGAGACCTATGGGAAAGTTTAAGGAACAGAGCTCTCACCATGATTTTTCTCGCTGAGCAGGTTTTTTGTTGCTGGCAGGAACATCTCCATCAGCTCTGGGACTTTACGGATGACGTGAACCGCACACAGTGCTGCCTGAGGGCAAAGAGATCATGTCATAAACCATTCACACATTCAGAGCTCGACATCCAACAGGACATGAAGTCCACGTTCAGCTGTGAAGAGTGTGAAATACCTTTTTCCTCAGATAGGAGTTTGACGTTTTGAGGAGTTTCTCCACTTCTCCAGCTAAGTCACGGCACATTTCAGATGAGCCCATGCAGCCCAGGGTGCACAAGGCCAGTCCCTGCACATACTGTGTACTGTGGTTTAAGTCACTGCAGAGAGAACATAAGGAAATGTATACAATCATTTAAATAAGTGATTATTAACTGATGGGCAAGTCAAAAATGGGTCAAAGAAGGCAAGAAATAAAAACTAACAACCAAATAAATAAATTTCTATAGTTAGGACAGCAAAATTATTCAAATTTTAAAATGGAGGGAAAACGCTTCCCATATATTGATGTCAAATGCTACGCATCCAATTAATTAATTTTTTTGGTGGAAATTCATCTGGTAAAAAAATTACAGCATCTAAGCAACCAAAGTCATTAGATTATATTGGCAACATGAGAAAAAATAAACAATTCAAGGTAAAAAAAGAAAGAAAGAAGCTTTTCTGTAGTTCACACACAATAAAGCATGGTGTTAGCAACACCAAGGTCATGGGTTTAATTCCCAGGCCTGGAATGCAATGCAAGTCGCTCTGGATAAACGCCAAAGGCATAAAACATGGTTCTTGCCAACTACGATATGAATTATTGGCTGCTGAGAGCATTAAACTACCAAATTCAAGAAATCTTTAGAGACCAAAATTGTACATATTCCTATTCAGCCTCAGTTTTGGCATGACGTTGGGCTGCCATTTGATGTTCAATGTAAAATCTGAGTTCTGAAGAAAGAGATAATGATAATAACTTAGGGCGCTTTTTTTTTTCTTTTTTTTTACTTATATAAGATGTTTGAGGGATACTAAATGGAAAAGAGAGATCCCATTTAAAATGCCATCAAACTCAGGAAGCAGCTTCCAATCATCCAGCACTTTACGCTCTCCACCTACAACGGTCATGTTAAACTCCCACCAATCACACAGCCAGTTGTTGAGACAAGATGAGATCGTCTGCTCACTCACTTTTTGATGCAGTTTGTCATTAAGAGATGGACGTCCTGCCTCTCATCCAGGAGCAGCATGGCTCCCAGGTATCCTATCCGTTTGTCTGTGAACTTCTGTGATGCAATCAGTTTCAGGCACTCCAGCTAAAAATGAGATTTTGCCCATCAAACACTGCGAAATTCTGCCTGGTTAAAGTGGGTTAAAGATTCCAATGATGACCCTGCAATTTCTGAAACACTGTTTTCTCACCTGGCCAAAGTGTGCTGGGTACCCCAACATGTGCATATAAAGCAGCTTAGCCACATTTCTACAGCGGTACGTGTTGTCCTCTTCTCTAAAGGAGGACCTAATGGCAGCACACTCTTTCTGGATCATCTCTCGCTCCTCCGCCTGGGTTCGGGCCGTCCGGATTGTCCGGATCAGCTCCCGCAGTCTGATCGGAGCTGGCATCCTCTGTAATGAAAGCACAATGTCAGCCAACGGAATGTCACAGTAGCTCCTATATATGTGCCACAAAGACAAATGAAGATTTATTTTGCATTTGCCAGGGCAACATGAGATCTTAGGATCATAAGATTGTGACAGCAAGCAACACAATTTCACACTAAACCCTTCTCTAAAAAGTTGCACCATTAAATCCCCTTTAAAGCATCACTTCTACAGCTCTACTCATTCAGGCCGACTTTTTTTAGTGATTGTGTTGCACCTGTTGTCCGTCTGCTTTGCTTTTAAAATCCAATCTTAGGTCATTCAGGCAATTCACTAGTTGATTTTTAAAATATGCACTTTTGTATATCCCCATTTAATAAAAAAAATACTGACTCTGACTTTTCAGACATCAAGCTTAATATATGATGTTTCCGCTTATATAACCCATGCTTTTCTCATGATATTAACTAGTAAATTAACTTTAATAGAATTTTTAATAGTGCAACCGGTTGTCTAAATGAAGCGTTACCATGATAATGATGTAAATAGGGAAATCGCTCCAGCACTGCAAGATGAATTAAGCACAACACCCTAGAGCGCTCTCTTGATCAGTCGTTCTGCAGAGCTCTAAGAATCCCAAAAGACGCCGAGCATCTCATAATTGACTAGCACATGAGGTGAGCTTTTCTATGGGGACAGTCAGTCTGGAAAAGGCAGACATCAGAGTATGGCCATAATCAGCTTCATCAGCCAATGAGACACAAGCAGGTGGAATCACATGTGAAATTCCATTCCTTCAACAGAATCAGGTTTCAATCCACTGGAGGGCAGGCTGATTAAAAATTAAAAAAGCGAGCACATACAAAACTGGTAAGATTACATGACTGCCTATTCAGGAGCCTATTTCTAAAGCATTCAACAGTAATCCAGCTCTAACACAAACATCTGGAGCGAACAAACAAACAAAAGAGGGCGATGGAAAGAAACTTTGACTTCACATGAAAGGGGATATTATGCAATTGACTGTTCGCAAAGAGTTACCTTTAGGGTGTATTCACACCAGGAAAGTCCGATAGTTCACTTGCTTTGGTCCGGACCAAATAATTTAAAAAAAAAAATTTTTTTGGTACCGTTCGCTTTCACACTGCTCTTTTTGCAAGTGAACCAAAATTTGTAAACAAAACCACACGTGTGCTAAGGTCATCCATTCATTGGACAAGGATTCTCAAGTAGGGAAATCAGGAAGTGCAAAAAAGGCTCAGCATGGAGATATTTCGTACTACAATATTTGTTATTTTACTAATTTTGTGTTATTCTGTACAAACTGCGCAGAAGACGGATAAGGTATAAAGTTTTGATTCATAGAGAGGGGCTATGTTCACACATTCAAATAATGAGATTCTTATTGTATATACTGCTAACAAGTGCTGTCAATGTTAACGCTTGCGATTTAAGTTTGTCCAGTTTAACGCAGCGTCATCCTTGTATTGTAACTATCGTTACATTATATGAACTGCAAAAGCTTTTTTTGGATCTATGCGCGATTAGACTAAAGAGAACGCTCTGTATGTGAATGTCCTGATGCACACACTCATTCATTCATTCCATTCCAATGATGCACACACACGGCGCGCAGAAAGACGTGCAACAGTATCGTGTGGCCAGACAGCGCGCCGGAATGGAATTCTCTTTCGCACTTGAACAACAGTAACACAAACCATTATGGCAAAATCTCCGACTACGGAAGCCTTTTAACTCAAAGGCGCAGTGCTTTCTTGCAATTGGGTCGGTTCATGTTCACACCGTAAACGAACCGTACCAGAGTTCGTTTGGAACCGTACCGAGACCACCTCTTCAGCTGGGTTCTCGGTTCGGTTGTTTGGTCCGCACCCGAGTTCGATTGCTGTATTCACACCTGCCCAAAAGGTCCGCACCAAGGGGGGAAACGAACTAGAGTTCGATTCAATCGAACCAAACAAGGCAGGTGTGAATACACCCTTAGTTACTGACAAGCCATGCCGCTCTCATGCCACACATGTTCTCACACAGTGAAAAATACATCGCGGAGGAAAGAGGACACTGACAACGCGCCGACAGACAAGGTTACTTTTGATATGAAAAAGTCTCAACTTTCAAATTTGGTCATTTTTCTTAAAGAAATTTTAAACAATACCGTTTTGTGACTGTTTAATTTGTCATGACAGATCGCTGTAGCGCCTCAGTTAAAGCTGCTCGTGAACCAATCATTAATTTATAGCATCAAATAAACATGAATGAACATCAGAAGGAATGTTGTTTCAACCGTGGAAAGACGTCAATACACACCATTCTCAAAAAGAGCAGTTAAATATATGAACGTGGATCATATAAACAGACCAAACAGGAATTGACTCATGCTGCAGACTGAGGTTGAATAGACATGGCATTACAGTACTTTCACCTCACATACCGAGCAGCTCCTCTCAACACAATGATGGAGTGTGGATAGCGTGAGGTCACCTTATAATTAAATGTAAGTTGCAAAAGTAAGTAATCAGTGGCACCAGAAAGACAGAGCACTTCAAGTGGTTTACTGCTCTGATAATGCACATTAATCACACCAGGAGATCCATCTCACACACACACAGTTAATATTCCTCCATTCCTCCATGCAGAGATGAGAGCTGCTTTTGGCTCTCCATCACAGAGAAACCCCGCACTTGAATCTGTTAACATGCAGCACCTAATTAAGCTGCTCGAGCCAGAAAGGAACTACAGTAATTACTTGCTAAACAATGACATTCTCAGCATCTCCCTGCAGAAAAACAGAAGTTACGCTCATAAATGGATGGACAGTGCAAAGAAGTGCCTTTAATGACAAATACACAATTTCATTGTCCAATTAAGCATGAAGTGATAAAAGCAAAGTGTTTTTTCAAGGAATTAAACATGCAGTGGCCTTTATCATAAGTTCACAGTTTAGCTAAAAACACTGATATTTTTGTTTTGGTTTTCAAAAGAGAAATTCAAAAGAAAGAAATGTATATCTACAAATGATGCAACGAATCAATATTCTTGCCATCATTTTTATTTCCCTTACTATTATTATTGGTTGGTTAGTATTTTAAAGCCATGCCATGAAAATAGCCAAAGAAACTTGTTGCAAGTAACAAATTGAAATCCTATAAAAGAGCTTATTTATGGTTAAGATTTGCCTTGGATGAAAATTCTAAAATGCTAAGATTGTTCTTACTGTTATATTGAATGTAAAACTAGTATATAAAAATGACAATGTGCCACCCTAATCGTATGGTCATTCAGCAAACTTACTATAAAAAAAATAAAATAAAAACACTTTCTGTGGATTTGGCCATTCACGTATTACATAACGAAATGTCTTCAGCAGCATTTTGCTCACAAGAAATCAGACATTAGGCTTTGTGAATGTAGAAGATTTGTGCTACAGATGTACATATTGAAGTTGCTTTTTGGTAGGCTATTTATCTTTTTTATTATTATTGTGTTGTTGGAGGAATTGAAAAGCTTTATGACTCATGTTTACAAAGTATACAGCCAAATGGTTTTTTTTTGGTATATTGTAGGATGGACTATCTTGTGTTTTGGTGTTGTTTTAATATAGATCTTAGTGTATTTCAGTAATAATAAATACGGGATGTTGTTTTTTTGGTGAATTTCTGTTTCTCAGATCATAAAAAGTGTGCCCCCCAATTTAAAATTTCTGGCGACAGCCCTGGGCATTTGGAGCATGACAAAAAAAAAAAAATTCTATTGACTTCAATATTTCTGTGATGTTTTGAAATTATATAAAGGGAAAGTGTACATCTTAGGTCCTTTGACTATTTCACCATTTTTAAACACCTTTGTCTTCACTAGTTAATTTTAAATGGCCCTCTGGTGTGATAAATTAGTTTTAAAATTACAAATACTCCATACTGTTTCTCAGTTAATATGAGGTCATAAAAGCTGGATGCATAATAATTATATATATAAAAAATAGCATTAAGGCGTGAGATGGGTTAATGTAATTTGATCTAGGAGCAAAAAAAAGCTTTCAAATTTGGAGTAACACCAAGCTGACAAGACTTTCAGGGTGTTAAAATGAGCACTAACAGGCATGTGAATTTAAATATTACTCAAAACAGGCACAAATGGGTAAATTTGTGTAAATACGAAGTAAATAGACACAAAAAGCCTAAGAACGACTGTTTTTAACAAAAAGACAATCAAACCAGCGTCCCAGCTATCAATTTTTTCCCACTTCAATAAGCCCCAGCAATACGTAACTAGCCTCTTGTATTATGTCAGATGCCTTCACACAGTTCTTGGTCTTCTGCCAGTTTGATGAAAGCCAAGTCTTTTTTCTTTGAGAAAGGGATGCTTCAATTCTAAGTGCCTCTTCAGCTTACTTGGCACTATGTTAGCATTAGCAAACTTCTGTATGCAGATGACATCCAGGCTAAGGGCAATTAGCAGCCCCGGCTTAACTAAAGCTCCAAACATGTCTGCTCTCACTTCGGGTTGGGATGGATCTTTGCATAGGCAATTTGGTTATTCGAATCGAATCAAATTAACGAACTGCATCAAAATGATAAAGTGTGCATGCATATTATTTATCATTGTAAGTGTCAATCCAATACAATGACAAGTTTCAAAGAAATCCAAAAATTGCAGAGCAATTATTGATAAATCATCTGCTTTAAATGTGTAGCGAATGTTTTCACTATTTAAGCAGATAAATTGTAAAAAAAAAAAATTAAAGTTCATTGTACAGGTTTCATGCCAACACAAGGCATAAGAGGTTGTGTTATGCTGTTAATATAAACACAGCTAAAGGGTGTCATTAGGCATTAGAGGTCAACCGATTTATCGGTTTTGCCGATATATCGGTACTGATAGCTGATTGGTGGAACTATCGTTATCGGCAAAAATCCACACCGATAGTTTTTCCGGGTTGAGTGTCTGTTGCTGGAGCGACTGAGAGAAGAGTATGCTGGCATTATACAGAGCGAGAGCGGCCTCTAGAG